CGCTTCCTGGCGGGACCTGCAAATCGAGTTGGATGATACTCAACGCCACAACGACGACCTGAAGGAGCAGGCGGCCGCCCTGGAGCGCCGCAACAACCTGCTGCTGGCAGAGGTGGAGGAGCTGCGGGCGGCGCTGGAGCAGGCAGAGAGGAGCAGGAAGATGGCAGAGCAGGAGCTGCTGGAGGCCACCGAGAGGGTCAACCTGCTCCACTCCCAGGTGAGGAACCACCGGATCCCAGGTCTCTGCTGGCACTGGAGCAGCAGGAGCCTGTCTGGCAGTGGGGCTGCTGGCCACGGTGAACGGCTGGTCCCTGTGACACTGCCCTGCTCTGTCCACAGAACACAGGGCTGATCAACCAAAAGAAGAAGCTGGAGACTGACATCTCCCAGCTGAGTGGCGAGGTGGAGGACGCGGTGCAGGAGTGCCGCAATGCCGAGGAGAAGGCAAAGAAGGCGATCACGGATGTAAGAGCCTGGTGGGGACTGTGCGGTATGGTTCATCAAGGGTGCCCAGCACCCTGTGGAGCTGGTGGGTGGGAGGAGAGGGGCAGGTCTAAGAGCTTCTCTACTGACCCCCCCTGTGTGGTGATGCCTCTGTGCTCTTGGCCTTGCAGGCTGCCATGATGGCAGAGGAGCTGAAGAAGGAGCAGGACACGAGTGCACACCTGGAGCGGATGAAGAAGAACATGGAACAGACCATCAAGGACCTGCAGATGCGCCTGGATGAAGCGGAGCAGATTGCTCTCAAGGGTGGCAAGAAGCAGATCCAGAAGCTGGAGGCCAGGGTGAGGTGGCAGGGGCAGATCCCCAGCTGTGCCACGTAGGAGTGGGCTCCTGGCACTGCCCCAGGGGCACAGGTTCTGCAGGGCACTGGCGCTGGCACTGTCCCTGTTTCATCCCTCTGGGGCCATCCTATGGGCAGTGAGGGTCAGGCCCTGAGGACCTGCAAGCCTGAGGCTGGCTCCGTGGCTTTGCTTGGGGTGGTTTAGCCTTGGCTGTGGCTACTCTGATCTGAGGAAAGTGATTTGACCTCAACTGGTGCTGGTGCTGGAGCTGAGTTGGCCTCTACCCATCCACCCACAGGTTCGGGAGCTGGAGGGAGAGCTGGATATGGAGCAGAAGAAGATGGCTGAAGCCCAGAAGGGCATTCGCAAGTACGAGCGGAGGATCAAGGAGCTGAGCTACCAGGTACAGCAGCACCAGGCGCAGCTCCAGCGCAGCAGGACTTGGCCCAACTGTCCCTGTGCTCAGATCCTTGTTACCCAGCACCCCACTCCAGCCCAGCACCGCCCTGGTTTGTTCTGGGCACTGTGCTGGGACTCAGAAGGGCAGGACGGTTTCTCCTTGTCCCAGCTTCTGCCACCTGCTCTGTGTCTCTGTCTTGCCCCTTTGCTGGCACCTCCAAACTGGGTGCTGGGGGGACCAGGGGACGTGGGGCTGGTGGCTGGGTCACTGGGGCAGGTTGGTGCTCTCCTTGTGCAAAGGGCCCTGGCACCACTGCGACCCCTGGACAAAGATACTGGGGCAGACACAGCCTGAGCTGGGGTCCTGCTGATGGGGCTGGGGCACTTGCAGGCTGAGGAAGATCGGAAAAAGGATGCAGGACCTGATCGACAAGCTGCAGAGCAAGGTCAAGAGCTACAAACGCCAGTTTGAGGAGGCGGTAAGTGCCTGTCCCCGCTCCATCTCCTCCCGGGCTGGAAGACCCTGCTGGCCTTCCTGGGGTGGCTGCAAGGGAAAAGGGTCACGAGGTCAGCACGGGGAGGTAACATCCCCATGTCCCAGGTGAACTCACCTCTCCCCTCACCCCATCCAGGAGCAGCAGGCCAACTCCAACTTGGTGAAGTACCGCAAGGTGCAGCACGAGCTGGATGACGCCGAGGAACGTGCCGACATCGCCGAGACGCAGGTCAACAAGCTGCGTGCCCGCACCAGGGAGGTCATCACCTCCAAGGTAAGCCCAGGTAGCCGTGGGGAGGGGGAAGTGGGACAAGGGCTCCTGCCCTCCCTGGAGCCAGAGGAGCAGCTGTACAGCCCATGGCCTCATCCTGTCTGGCTGTGGGACTGCTGTTGTCCCTTGTCACTGGTGCCAGGACCTGAAGGATGGCAGAGTGTTCCCTGCCTCCAGCTCCAGCAGCTCACCGAAGCCCTTTTGGTTGTTTTGGCAGCACGAGTAGTTGGAGCCCAGCTGCCTGCTGTAGCTTGGAGGCAAGTGGCTGCAACAGTCACCACCAGCTTTGCACCGTGTGAATAAACATAGATCTGCTAGGACTTGCTCCATTGTGTCTGTCACAGGGTGACCAGAGCCTTGGTCCTACTGCTGGAGATATGGGGGACAAGCTGGGGTCTTTGGGGACATCTTTCCCAGCCAGGCAGGGGCAGGAGGGAGGCACAGGCCTCCCCTCTCCCTGCTCTCTTGTCCTGGCTCACTCCAGGCTTTAGCAGGGATTTGGGAAAGGAGCCCTCTCCTCATCCCTTCCCACCAACACACTTGAGCCCCTTGCTCAGCTGCAGAGTAGGGGGTTGAGGGACGTCACTGAAACCATCACTCCTGCAGAAGGAACACAGAAAACCCTCAGTACAGCTCTGCAGGGGAGAGGGAGGGGGGTTAAAGCTTCGGTAAAAAGACCACAAAGAAAGACATCTCCACTCATTTCTTCAAAATAGATTTTTTTAATAGTTTCCATTTAATACGTTTATTTGCAGTTAGTAAATTGGCATTAATCTGGGCAGCACCAACCTCAGCAATCCATGGGGATAGTGCAGACTTCCAGAAGGATTCGTTAGGGGCAGGGGTCCCTTCTCCACCCCCCCCAATGCCAGCACACAGCCTGCTGCAGCCTCCCCTGAAGCCAGCAAGTTCTCCCCAGCACCACGCAGGGTATTTCCTTCCCACGCTCTCCATAATAAAGTAAAAGAAGGATGAAGGCCAGAGCTGTCTGGTCCCTCTCACAATGAGATTCTTTAGGCATCTGGCACAGACAGATGAGCCCACAGGACCAAGGCTCCCAGTTAAAATGTGCCTGTGACCCTCCCTGCACACTCATCCCCCTGCCCCTGGAGACCAGCACACTCCTTGGGTGGAGGAGCTGCTCTGGGTTTCTTCCCTGCACCCCTTCCAGAGACAGCTTGGGCCTGAAGGCAAAAGCAAAGCCAATCTGCCTCCAGCAAGGACCCAAAAGTGACTCTGCTCCCACCCTGGGGAGGAGGGATCCATGAGCCAGAAGGAGCCTTGTGGGACTTGAGCTCAGCCTCACGCCCAGGACAGAGGCAGGTTGGCCCTTAACTGTACATCACGTCAATAGAGAGATGGACGTGGAACTCTGCAGGTTTCTAGCAGCAATCGGTGGATGCACCAATTAATTAACTAGACTATGGCAAAGGCATCCCTTAACTTAAAAGCCTTTTAATTTTAAGCCTTTATTTTAAGTGTACATCTATTACAATTAAGAAGAAGCAAAGATACACCAAAACCACAAATACCCAAGAACAAAAAGGTACAGATGAGAAAGAAATTAGCTCAGGGGATGGAGGGGGCAGGGTGGGGGTGACCTGATGAAGAACAGAGAGTTGCAGCTGCCTAAGGCAAGGAGCTCCCCAACACAAGGGGGTGGGACCAGGGTCACCTCACCAGAGCGGGGCAGAGGCTGCCCAGGAGATTCAGGCCCCCAGGGAGGAACACACAGATCCCCAGGAGCTCCTGCCAGGCTGCAGGTTTATGCACAAACTCAGCAGCTCTGACCACCCTGCAAGCAAAGTACTGACTGCAAGTCCACAGCAGGACACCACAGTGGGAGACAGGAGATGGGTGACTTGTAGAGAGCGAGTCCTGCACTGGGGCTGGAAGCCTCTCCACTCCTCCAGGCCCCAACACAGGGATCCTCAGAGTGGGTTTCATTCTGCTGGCAAAGATTAGAGACAAAACACTACAGAGCTCTAGAACATCCTCACCACCGGTCCCTCTCCAGAGCCTGGACAGAACTGAAGTCACCTCATCAAATAAGTTAAGAACATTTAAAAAAAAAATAATTCAGATGCACGTTTCAAAGAAAACTGGTTTCTTTGAGCTGGAGCTGCAAGATGCAAGACACATTTTTTGACTTTAATGCAGTGGCTCAGGACTTCAGGCTGTATTTCATTCCTGGGAATGTGACTGTCTTGGAGCAACATAATTGGCTGGTAAGGAGGCAGAGAACGTGCAGGTTTGGCCACGGGAACTACCAAAACCTGATTCTTCCCTTCCCAACATACCCTACAAAGTTACTTTCAACCAGGAGTGTTTATTCCCAGCATTTAACACATTCTGATTAAAACAGATCCAGGAAAAAAACTGACATCTCCAGTAAATATTGCACTTCAAGATTAATGTGTGTGTTGATATTAAGGACTGAAAGCAGAGACTGACATAAGACTTCCAGGCATAGCAGGTTAGCATCAAGCGCAATGGTCCTGAAAAGGATTTTAAAACCAGATTAGTTACCCAAGAAGGGACAAGCCACAAGTTTAAAAAAAATTAGTACATTTTAATGCTAGTGCTCTGTGAAAAAGCCAACCTCTGTTGCCATTCCACCACTGCTGAAATGTCTCTGTTCTCCGCAGCATTGTATAATGCCTTCAGATAGGAAGGATCTGCAGGAAAGACAGCAGGAGCAGAGGTTCTCTCCTAATGCAGACAGACAGATTTAGTACCAAACGATCCAAAAGTAGATGGTAGAGAGGTGACTGGAGCTAGGGCTCTCAGGAATTAAAAGCACACACACACACACACACACACACTCTAACCAACCCTAAACCCCTGATTCCCAACCCCAACAGAAGAATTACACCTGCAGGGAGTCCTCGTGGTGGCTCTGCATGTGGCTGGTGTGTCGGGGACCAGTCAGACTGGCTCCTTGGACCTCACATTTGGAGGGCAATTTCTGTGCTTTTTTTTTTTTTTTTTTTATGCCAGAATTATCTGGTAGCCATGAAAAAGCCACAACTACATTGGCACATACAGAGTATCCTCATCTGTCAGCAAAAAAAATCTCTGACCAGCCACGCTGGACTGAGAGAGAGGGGGAAAAAAAAAACCATAATAAAGAGGCTGGTTTTTGCAGGTGAATGTGTTTATCCCAGAACAACTGGAAGATACATCCCTGAATGTGTTGCCCAGAGAGCTTTCAAAGTCTCATCCATCAGAGATCAGAGATGGGGAACGGGAGGGGGCTGGGGTTTTGACAATGCAGTAACGCTCCACGGTTCCAAGCCGCACACGCGCACACACACTACACAGCGTATCCCTGAAAATCCACGGGCTGCGAGGTATCCTCCAAGCGCTGTCCATCAGAAGCCAGAGTGAAGAATTACTCCTCAGAAAAGTCTCTGTCAACGTCCATATATGCCTCATCGATGTAGCTAACTATGGCACAGGGGGATGTCCGGTCTGGACTGAGCAGTATAGATACAGTCTCTTTCCAGTAAGTAAAACTAATACATGAGCTCTGCGGGGAGAGAAGAGGATGGTTAGTGTGGTCCACAGGCACCAAGAAGGAGCAGAAGACACATCCCCAAAGGCATTCAGCAGAGAGAACTGAAAACTGCTTCCTATTGAGCCTGACTTCCCCAGCCACACCGTTTCACACCTCTGACTCACCGTTCAGCCCATCCTCCCTGGAGTGTGGGGCAGAAGGGGTGGA